GCCATTCAGTTCAAGATTCTCGAAACCAAACGGATCCAAAACATAAATCACACTCCCATCACTAAAGACAGAAATGATTTTGAAATRGATGCATAATAAATATAAATTGATTCATACTAATTACTTTAACGATTGCCGAGTCTCCCTWGCCAGAGGATAATGTTCTAGTATAGGATACACTACATTTAATGTTCTTTAAGCGTACAACCCTCAAATCAGATGTTGATTTTTGTGGAGGGAGGAAAACCCGAGAACCTGGAGAAAAACTCCTAAGGCAAGAGAGAGACAATATATTACAAAAATTATATTCACATGTGGTGTCGCTGGAATCGAACGCACGACCCAATATATATATATTACCTTTTTTCATCATCTATCGGTGTGAGATATCTGTTGATCTTCCATACTATCCAAGCAAACAAACGACCATACAAAGCCATTGCGAGCTTGTCTCTTGCATCATCTACTTCGYCCACCCTCCTCAAACGACGAGCAACTTTGCCTGAAACATGTAAATGCAAATACGCCTCAAAATGATGAACAAATAACGTTAAAGAAGACCATGCTGCATGGTGATGTTTTTGGCTGATTCTTGTCAGTGCACAATGGGATTTGCCACACATTAAAAAAAAAAAAGTATCAATCAAATACACCTCTTCAGCTTGAGCGTACTAACATTTTTCACATTTCAGATCACGTATCATTCTCTTGACAATAAGATTCTTTGTTTGAGTTGTATCCTTATTCATGTGTCTTCTCATGCATGAACGTTAACCAAGAAATGATACTCTAGGGAATGACATGTGGTCTGAAATTGGAAAACATTACGTCCAAGCTAAAGAGTACCATTGCTCTGTAACAACATATTATTCTAGTTAAATTGTTGCTGAAAGTAGAACTGTTCTCAGTAAATGTTTCGCGAAAAGTTGACGTTGTAYTTTCCACTGGCTGAGGAACGAAATAAGTGGAAAATGTTTTCTCACACCACTGGAGCCTGGGCCGAGGGATATTAGTCACGTGGGCAGTGTTTTCATCAGTTGCTTTTTCGCTGTCCGCCATGATTGTTTAGTTAGCCCCACAGTACCCCCCCAACCCTAGGCCAGCATTGCTGGAAGGACTTTAGAGTAGTTTTTCAKGGAAACCACGTTACGATGATAAGAATGATGTATTACAGTAATGCATATGTTGAGTTATTCAGAAATAAAGAAGTCAGTTGGCGGCGGTCAGCTGGACAATAGCTCCCAGTGGTGTGTGAGAACTATTTTTTATTCGTGTAAGCCTGATGTAAGTAAAGGAAGGTTCTCAAACGTTTTGCTGTGAAGTAGCCCTTGTGAAACTCGTGTTCTTCAAAGGCATTGCACATTATTTCCAAGCATTTTCAAGAGTACTAATGCATGGTAGCTGACATTAGCTCGCACTAACCTTTAACATGGGTTAATTCTGTAACAAGTGCAAACTCCAGCTTCTCTGGAGAAACTCGAAGTAGCTGACTCGCTGTATCAAGAAAACAATTATTAGTTGTTGATTTTATTTCGGACAATCACGAACTATAAGAAGAAAATACTGCATGTCTATGCATGGTTCGAAAAACTGATATCTGATTGGGGTATCAAGAGGGGCGCGTAATTGTAGTGCACTCGCCTCTCACCTCTAGGGTCTTGGGTTTGATTCCTGGACCCTGTACCACAAGTGACTAGTGTTTGTTAGGTCTCTTMCTTTATTCGAGGGTTTATCTCTGGGTTTTACGGTTTTTCTCCTCTGCTAAAACCTTAACGGGCTAAATTCGAACTCAATCAATGATTTAGCCATACCCTGATTTTGATCTACCATGAGGTCGTTTCAGGGGCCAATCTGTGAGCGACCCATTACCTGATATTGATCAGCCCTGATGACTCAGTCAGTGAGGCTCACCTTTTCTCAGCGGATCAAGATGAACAACTCCTGCTTTCTTTTCCTTTATATTGACGGCAAATGTTAAATCACCAATGTGTAAGATTGCAGCTAAGATACGAAATATGGYGTCCAAGTTCTACAAACGACAAAAAGTTGCATACTATCAAAATAGACTTTCGCGGGTATAGCAAAAAAGTAACAAAAACCTTAGCGAGTAGTCTGAGAAGGAGGCTATTTCTAGTCGTTCTAGCGCTTTGGCACTAATTGGGGACACTTTTCACTCTCACACACACTACCACTACTTTCAATGCGGTGTTTGTTAGAAAGCATTCTCATGACCATCACACTTACACTTATGATGGCGTTTATCACGTGATGTTCACACTAACCTCTTCRGAAAAGCCCAAACATCGAAAACAATCGTTCACTTCGTTGAGTTCATCTTGKAACCGTTCTTGATCTCTTGTCCAGTCAAAGTCATTACCAATATACCTTAAGGTATAAATGAAATTACATCAAATCAATTAAAGAATCATTGTCCTACAAATTGCCTCCACGGGGAAGGGGGTCCCGGGGAAGGGGTTTCGGGGGAAGGGAGTCCCGTGGAAGGGGGTCCCGGGGAAGGGGGTCTCGGGGAAGGGGGTCTCG